TGATGGTTGTTGAAAAATAAACTGACTGATAAAGGGCTACTGTGGAACTCTATGACGCAGACTTTCGTAGCGTTTCCGATCACGCACCCGTCATGATCTGGGTATGCGATCTTGACTTAGAGTGCGTCTATGTCAACCAACGCTGGTGTGAATTCACGGGGCAGGAACAATCTCAGGCTTTGGGCATTGGCTGGGGACAAGCACTGCATCCAGATGACAAGGCAAAAGTTTTTGCGGCTCGTGACAAAGCACTCCGCAAGCAGCAATCGGTTTCTGTCGAATGCCGCATGCTCCGTAGCGACGGCCAGTATCGCTGGATGATCAGCAGTGCCAGCCCGAGATACTCAGCTGATCAGCAGATCCTGGGTTTCATTGGGAGCTCTGTCGAGATTCACAATGAACGCTTGTTGCGTAACCAAGCGATTGAACAGCAGCATCGACTGGAAGCATTTTATGAACAAACTCCCGTCAAAATGCATTCTGTCGATGCCAATGGAGTCATCGTCTCAGTCAGCGATGACTGGCTCGAGCACTTTGGATATGAGCGGGATGAGGTGATCGGGCGCAAGCGCACCGAATTCATGACACCCAAGTCGCAGAAAGTCGCTGCCGAAAGATTGAAGGCATTTCTCAAGCAAGGTTATTGCGAAGATCTCGATTATCAGTTCATCACCAAATCAGGGGATGTGCGAGATGTGCGACTGTCAGCAATTGCAGAGACGGACCTCAAGGGGAATTTCGTCAAGTCGATTGCTGTCTTGGAGGATGTGACAGATTCAAACAAAAGTCTTCGGCGGTTGGAGCAAACGCAGAAAATTTTTGATCAATCAGGCGAAGCAATTTTCTGGCTATCGCTACAAGGGGAAGTGCTCTATGTAAATGAGCAGGCCTGCCGTTCGCTGGAATACACAGTTGAGGAACTGGTTGAAAAACGGATTTGGGATATCGATCCAAAGTTTTCCAAAGAGATTTGGGAACGGATTGAATGGCGAGAGGATTTTCGTGAGCGAAAAATATTGCGTTCTGTTCATCGAACTCGAAGCGGTCGCGAATTTCCGATTGAGGTGAATTCAAAGTTGGTCGAGATTGATGATGACGTCGTGATCTGTGCCTTCGTAAGAGACCTGTCTGACCGCATTCGTACTGACAATGAACTTAAATTGGCTCAGCAGAGGCTCGAAGAGACACTTCGTTCGGGAAACATTGGTCTCTGGGATTGGGACATGAAGACGAACGAGGTCTTGTACTCGAATGAATGGAAAACACAGGTCGGGCTGTCTGCGGATACAGAATTAAAGGGTTATGAATCCTGGGAAAACCGTCTGCATCCTGATGATCGCGAACAGGCACTGGAAAAAATTCAGGATTATCTTGAAAGTCGCACAGAAGAATACATCTCCGTCTTCCGGTTTCGACATGAAGATGGCAGTTACCGCTGGATTCGTGCCCAGGGGCGAGTTTTTCACGATGCCGATGGCAACAAAGAACGCATGATCGGCGTCCATATTGATATCACCGACCATCAACGTGCACTCGAAGAGCTCAGCGAGCGAACGGCGGAACTGGAGGCGATCTTTCATGCCAGTCCTGATATGTTCTTTCGGACTTCGGCAAATGGCATCATCACCGAGTATCGTATCAACGATGAATCTCGCTTGATGTTACCGCCTGATCGATTTATGCGGCGGAAAATCTCCGCAACAATGCCGGACCGTGTTGGAGAAATCTATGAAAAGGCACTGACAAACCTCGCTCAAACCAGGCAAACACAAACAATCGAATACCGCATTCGATTACATGGAGAATATGAATGGCACCAAGCTGTACTTGTCCCCTTTCAGGGGAATCAAGTCGCTATTTTCGTCAGGAACATCACTGAGCAGAAAAGCTCAGAATTGGATTTGATCGCGCGCACGATTGATTTAGAGCGAAGCAACGCCGACCTTGACCAGTTCGCCTATGTTGCTTCACACGACCTGAAGACTCCTTTGCGGGGCATACAACACCTGACCAAATGGATTCGAGAAGATAGCGAAGACAAACTCCCGGAAGATTGCCTTGATCACCTCGATAAACTCGATACGCAGGTGGCAAGGATGCATAGCTTGTTGGATGATCTGCTTCAGTATTCCCGGGCCGGTCGTGTTCGTGTTGCCGTCGAACCGATCGATCTGCATGAGATGTTGGATGAGATTGTGGGTTTGGTGAATCCTCCAGCGGGGCTGACAATTCATCGCGATGTCGATGATGTGGAACTGGTCACGGGACGTGCACCATTGTTTCATGTGATTCTCAATCTCGTTGAGAATGCGGTGAAGTATCACCATCGCGAACAGGGCAATGTCTTCATCAAAGTAACAGAAACTTCGGACATCGAGTTCGTACAATTTCAGATTCGTGACGATGGGCCAGGCATCGAGAAAGAACACCATGACCGGGTTTTCAGAATGTTTCAGCGACTCGATTCCAAACAGACAGGTTCAGGCATGGGCTTGGCGGTCGTCCGCAAAATGATTGAGAGTCGAGGCGGAACCATTAACATGGCCTCGCAACCAGGAAGAGGAACGAGCTTTCACTTTACCTGGCCTGGGATGAGAGATTTGCCAGAAGAATTATTGGATGACGACGAATAAGTAAGTTTATGCATATTCTGATTGTTGAAGACGAAGAACTTGATGTCATTGCCTTGAAGCGAGCCTTTAAGAAACATCAAGTTTCCAATGAAGTCACAGTTGCCAGTAATGGGGCAGAAGCACTCGCTGCGCTGCGCGGTCAAAGCCCTGAACATGATCTGATCCCTACACCTGTTTTGGTTTTGTTAGATATCAACATGCCCCGCATGAATGGGCTGGAGTTTTTAGAGGAACTCCGTTCGGATTCCATCCTGAAAAGGATTCCGGTCCTTGTCCTGACAACGTCAGACGAGCATCGAGACATTCAGGCGGCCTACCGACTCGGAATTTCGGGATACACACTCAAACAGAATGTGGGTGAAGACTTCGAGAAACTAATTACTCTACTCAAGGCGTATGAAGAGATTGTTCGCTTTCCAGCTGAATGACCTGGCGCGGCCTGTTGGGCCACAACCAAATAGGGACGTCAAATTGAGACCGCTGGCTCAAAGGGCAAGGGGAAGAAGATATGGCATTTCTCATTAAGATGCGAAACCCATCTTCTCTCTCCTAAATTCTTCACAATGCGTCATTCAATACATTCGAGCACGGCGCTCGAATCTTGAGTTGTAAGACTCTAATCATTCAGCGTCTGAAGATTCGTCCGTCGTCTCTTCGGACTTTTGGGGTGGCAAAGCCTCTTCATCAAGGGTCTGACGTGGCCCCATGATCTCTTCGAGTTGCTCTCGATCAACGATCTCATTCTCCATGAGAGCCCGCACCAGTTCTTCCAGAACTTCTCTATTCTCTTCCAGAGTTGTCTTAGCCAGTTCCTGTGCTTGCAGCATGACGGTACGCATTTCCTGATCAATCAGAGCAGCAGTCTGTTCGCTGTACTTACGTTGTTCGTGCATCTCCTTACCTAAGAATGGATGCTCTTCGCTATCGCGATATGCAACGGGACCAATCTTCTCGCTCATTCCCCAGGCACTGACCATGCGACGAGCAATTTGAGAGGAGCGTTTGAGGTCATCTTCCGCACCAGCTGAGTATTCATTGAAGATCAACTTCTCAGCGGTCCGACCACCAAGCATCATGGCCAGTTGTTGACGTAGACGTGTCTCTCCCATGTGAAAGCGTTCTTCTTCGGGCACAAATTGCGTCACGCCCAGTGCACGTCCACGTGGAACAATCGTCACCTTATGCACAGGATCAACTTCAGGCAGCTTCCATCCCAGGATTGCATGCCCCGCCTCATGATACGCGGTCATGCGACGTTCTTTTTCGTTCATGATGTCTTCACGAGGTACGCCCATCATGATTTTGTCGCGGGCAGAATCGAAATCTTCCATCTCGATTTCTGTTTTCCCTTCACGCGCTGCATGCAAGGCAGCCTCATTCACGAGGTTCTTCAGCTCTGCTCCCGAGAAACCTATGGTGCTGTTGGCAACTTCTTCCAGTTTGACACCCTCAGCGAGTTTCACTTTGCGAGCATGAACTTTCAGAATCCCTAAACGTCCCTCGCGACTCGGGCGGTCAACAGCCACATGCCGATCAAAGCGTCCCGGACGCAACAATGCAGGGTCTAGTACATCGGGACGGTTCGTCGCAGCGATCACGATGACTGCCATGGTCGATTCAAAACCATCCATTTCACTGAGGATCTGATTTAATGTCTGTTCACGCTCATCGTGTCCACCACCGACACCAGCCCCACGAACACGTCCCACAGCATCAATCTCATCGATAAAGAGAATGCAGGGAGCACTTTCCTTCGCTGTCTTGAACATGTCACGAACGCGGCTCGCACCGACACCGACAAACATCTGAATAAATTCGGAACCGTTGATGCTGTAAAAGGGGACTCCTGCCTCACCAGCGACGGCACGCGCCACCAGGGTTTTTCCAGTTCCCGGAGGCCCCATCAGCAGGACTCCTTTGGGGATCTCAGCCCCGAGTCTCTGAAACTTGGATGGTTCCTTCAGAAATTCGACGACTTCCTGCAACTCCTTCTTGGCATGGTCCATACCCGCGACATCATCAAATGTTGTTTGCGTTTCACTGGGAGTAAATTTCTTGGCCTGGCTTTTAACGAAGTTGCCGAACATCCCACCTGATGACATTGGGTCCGACGATCTCCGCATCGCAAAGAAGAGAAATCCCATGATCAAAATAAAGGGAAGCAAATAGATCAAGGACTGAAGCAACATGATCGACATGTCTTCATTGGCCGATCCGTACTTCACATTTTTCTGCTCCAGCTTACGGAGAATCGATTGATCTTCGAGAGGGGGAACATTCGTTACGAAGCGATCAGCCAGTTCTGGGGCTTTTCGCTTCTCCGACTCCTTCTCGATGGATTCATTCCACTCTGTGACAACCTCTTCCATCCTTTTTGGGCCACTTCGACATTCTTCCATTGCCCAATCAGTTTCAACCCTTTTAAGGAGGCAGACTTCACATTCCCTGCATCCAATTGAGTCTGGAAGAAAGAGTAATTCACCTCTGTCTGATTGGCATTATTGATCGCCTGCCAGCCCCACATGACGAGCAGCAGGAACATCATGATCAGCAAGTAGTATGGAAAACTGCTCCGCCCGCGTGGGCTCGGCTTCTCTTGCCCTTCGTTACGTTCGGGTGATTCTTTCCGTTCCGGAGAATCCGTCATAAGTCAACTCTGATGCAATCAGTCGGTTTTCTAGTTAATGGCAGTTTCTCTGCCGTTCAGCGACGCGTCACCGTACACGACAGTGGCTCATCTGGCAATTGATCATAGCTTTCCTGCCAAATATGGCATGCCTTACCTCATGCTTTTCGAGGGTCTCCACAAGAAGTTGCTCCACTCACCGGCGCAACCTGTCTGAATTGGTTGAAACGGCTTACTTCTTCAGCAAATGCCGCGGATCGCAACTTCGCGAGAGACAATCAGCAGACCGGGCATGGAAGGTGATCTCGACCGCGACTTCATCTCCTCTCTCTGCGGAAATCGATCAATAGCCCCCAAACACTGGATAGAACATCTAAAACCGACAACACTAAAGGAAAAATGCAGCGACTGGCACCAATCCTGTTCTGTTGAGGCAAAAAAAAGCCTGGTGACTCGCATCGCCATCACCGGTGAGCAATCCCGCAATGGCTACTCCTATTCAACAACTGCCTTACAAAACGCAGTGCAGTTGTACGATGGGAAACCTGTATTCCTCGACCATGCTGCGAATCGATCCCGACCAGAAGATCGCAGTACACGTGATCTGGTTGGCTCCATCAAAAACCCAGTCTTCGAAAATGGACGTATCTACGGAGATATTCACGTTCTCGAAACCGAATCGGGTCAGACCTTTCTCAAGTTGCTGGAGTTAGATTCTCCCGGAGTCGGCATGTCACACGTTGTCAAAGCGCGCCGTTCCGTCGATGGTGCCAAAGTTGAAGAAATTGTCGATGTCATCTCAGTTGATGCCGTTGTTAATCCAGCCACGACAACGACCTTCAAAGAATCCATCACTGATCAAAACAGCCGTGATGCAGAACTTCTGGCAACGGCAGAACAACTCCGTGAACAAGTCTTTGACTTAGAGGCAGAGCAGGAACAGCTGTTACGCGAGAATCAGGAACTGAAACAGCAACTGCGCTCGGTTCAACAGAAGAACCGTGTACAGCAACTCATACGACGCTTCGATCTGCCGGATCAGGCAGTTACCGACTTCTTTGTCAAACAACTCGAATCTGTCAGCGAAGAGTCCGTTCAGGAACAGATGGTCCGCGACCGCTTAGCCATCATCTCGACAACCGGTGAGAGAAAACCCGTTATCCAAAGTGAGTCTCGCCGCGATCTCCAAACAACAAGTGATGACGACAGATTCATCCGTTTACTCAAACGGAACTAGGGCGGCCTATGCGGCCCCAACTAAACAAGGACCTCGAAAAGAGGCCGCTGGACTGAGGGTCTAGGGATTGAGGGTCTAGGGATTGAGGGTCAAGGGAATCGTTACGATGAGAACCAACAGGCAAAAACACAGGCAAAAACAAATGGACTGTCACAGCTGAAAATGAGGGTTGAGTTATTTATCGATAGCGACAACGGATCGGTCAATCGCGGTACCAACCCTGAATTTAAAGCCTGACAAGGCACTAGCTGCTAAATCCCAAATCCTGACTCCTAAATCCTTTACGTTGAGTCATTCAAAACATGCCCGCACGGTGCGCATCTTAAGCTGTCAGACTCTCATTCCTCCCCCAGTTCCGTACCGACGTACAAACAAAACTCAACTCATTTGCAACAACATCTTGCAATCTACCCACTCCTTATCGTGAGACAACTATGAACAAACTACGATTTCGCTCAGGCCAAGTGCAGCTACGCAAAGTGCGCGTCGAGGCTAGTACTGTGATTGAAGCAGGTGACCTGGTTTGGCTCGATGGCAATGTCGCCAAACCAGCTGCCGATTTCACCTGGGACACGGACCTCGCTACAACTCAGGCAGGCTTTGCAGCCAAGTTTCTTGGCATCGCTCATCAACCTTCTGCTATTGGTGATACACTCCCCGTTACGGTCGATATCAGTCCGGCCAGCGTCTATGAGTTCGATTGCAGCCCCGGCAGTTACGAACTTGGTCAACCATTGGGCCTTGATGAGAATCAATCGAACCTGATGAATCAGCAATGTGAGCCCGCTGTCGCTGGATGTTCTATTGCCCGCTCAGCTGAGTTCAGCAATGGCACCGTCTCCACGATTCGTCTTTCCTTCGCCTCTGCCTTCGCCACACCCAGTAGCAATATGAATGCTGCACTTGGCTAGAGCGAATTGCAGAACAGTGTTTGCGATCTGTCTCGCGGATTGGCGTTCTCGTTGCGGCGAAAGGCGCCCACCGCGGACACACGGTAGAGCAAACTGCTCTAACCGGCTGCTTAGTTCACTCTTTGTCTATCTCACTTTCCCACTCGCTTACGAGGTTCTTATGTCTCACGCACCGATCCGTTTGCTGATCGAATCACACGGCCCCGCCGGATTTTACAGCAAGGTTGTTGACTTGCTGAATGAAAAGAAACTGACCCCCGATGACTTCTCATATCGAGAACTCGCCGACGCCTGTGGAGTCCTTTCTTCCCTTCGCTCATTGCAGGAATCACATCATTCACTCGATGCCGCACTCGGCTCACCACAAGCCCTCAATCACCTGTTACATGAGTCCAATCCCGGTGTCAGCAGCCACCTCTTTCAGGTCGTCACGGGAGAATTGATTGGCCGCAAAGTCATCGAAGGATACGCTGACGATTCCGGATTCATCGGTGACAAGCTCGTCACCGTTATCCCAAGTCGCTTGCGTAACAGTCGCATCGCTGGCTTCCGTGCCCTCGCTGGACCGACAGAAGTTGCGGAAGGTCATCCCTATGAAGAGTCGACCTTTGCAGAGAAGTTTGTCACTTCGCAGGAATCAAAACAGGGCCGTATTCTCAGTATCAATGAAGAGTTAATCGCTTTCGACCAAACAGGCGAAATCAATCGCCGAGCGATGGCACTGGGCTACTACCTGCGTCAGGAACGTGAACGAACCATTGTGCGGGCCGTCACCGATGCTGATGCTGCGAGCGGACAATACGTCTACCGCCCATCTGGGAATGGTCAATCGCTGTACAATACCGATGGTTCTAATCGGAACTATGTGGGTGATACGAACACCACCTCACCTGATTATGCCGCAGCGAATCCACTTGTTGACTGGAAAGATGTTGAGAACGTCCTCAGCTATCGAGCGACTGAAGTCAAAGATGACCGGATCGATGGGGAACAGCGACCCGTCGTGGTCCCGGCCAAACAGATTCTCGTTCCCGAAGCCCTACGAGGCACGGCACGCTCCATTGTCCATTCAACAGAGATCAGCGTCACCACAGACGATGGGGAAACCCGCTTTGCCAATCCAGTTCACAACATGCTGGAAGTCCTCAGCTCTCCCTTCATCGATGAACAGGGAGCCTCAGCGAAGTCAGACTGGTATCTCGGTGACTTCAAACGCCAGTTCGTCTGGACAGAAATTTGGCCGGTCCAAACGTTCTTGCAACGTTCTGAAAGTTCCGCTGCCTTTGAACGCGATGTCGTCTTGAGAATCAAAGCCCGCTACTACGGCGGCATCAGCGCGATCGACACTGCCTTCGTCACCAAGGTGCAAGGCGAAGCATAGACACTACTTTAAAACCTATCTCTCCGCCCTCCCGAGTGTCACAACTCACCGCTGCCTCTCCCTCACCACAGCGGATTGCTTTTCTGCTTCTCATCAGTTGAAAAGCGTTGTCTCGGACAAGATGTCCAGGACATGTGGCACTCGGGATTCTTTGCGTTTGAATTCAACTCGATACTCAACATAGAAGCATTGTTTGCCGGCGCTTACCGTTCACTTGGCACTGTGGCCAGCACTTCTTTCTTAACTTGAATTGTTTTCCTTCAGTGGGTTTGGTATCGATAATCTCAACGAACAAATCCAATAATTTAGCAGTCCACATACTGCCTGGGTGAGAATGAGAATGAAAGAGTACGAATACAAAGACCTGGGGGTCTTAAAGTCTGTACTCTGCACATTACTGTTTATTGGATTAGTTCTCACAGCCTTCGCAGTCGTGAGTGGTGTCTGGGAATACCAGTTATTAAAGACGATCCAGTCGGGTGGTGAGTTTACAGATGCTCAAATCGAGCAAAACGACTCAAGACAAGGTCTCATCGGAATCGTACAGCTACTGCTACTCGTCATTACAGGAATTGTCTTTTTAAGATGGGTTTATTGCGTCAGCAGAAACGCGCACAGCATCAATTCGGAAAATTTAGAAATCACTCCCGGTTGGGCAGTGGGTTATTACTTCATCCCGATCATGAATCTGTGGAAACCCTACTCTGCGATGAAAGAAGCTTATGGGACGTTCACAGATGATGAAGAATCGACTGGTGGCACTGCGATAATAGGAGCCTGGTGGTTCTTCTGGATCGTCTCCAACATCCTCGGCAGAGTCTCATTTCGACTCGCATTGAGGGCAGAATCGATAGATGAATTGTTGCAATCTGCAAGCTTTATGATTGCATCCGATTCCTTCGACGTCTTGCTCAATCTGGTGGCCTTAATGCTGGTTCTCACAGTCAGCCATGCGAGTGATGCACGAGCGGAGGAAGGAGAGTTTCAGTACGATCGACCAGAGCCTTTCTAGTGCGAGAAGCAAAAGGCTACTGGTCTCTTGTGCCCATACTTAACAAACTGCTCAGAAAATCTGAGCATGATTCTCGTAAGTAATGTCGTACTTCTTCATTTTCTTGTAGAGCGTCGTACGATTGATACCGAGCAGGCGGGCGGTGTCCTGGCGGTTCCAGCCGTTTTGCTCTAGGGCATCAATGATGATCTGTCGTTCAGGATCAGCGAGAGCCGATTTCAGGTTTGGATTGCCTGCCAGACGATTGACTGTCCCGGAACTTTCGGCCGGTTCCTGACGAACCTGTTCTGGCAAGTCAGCGAGTGTGATGAGGTCGCCCTTGCTTAAGACAATGGCTCGTTCCACGACATTGACGAGTTCACGAACATTGCCGGGCCAGTTGTATCGCTGTAAAGCTTGCAAAGCCTGTTCGTTGAAACCACGAACTTCTTTGCCAGCCTGCTGGTTGAACTCATTGATGTAATGTTCCACGAGGAGCGGGATGTCACCGATTCTTTCACGCAGTGGTGGCTGAGTGACGGAGATCACGTTGATGCGGTAATAGAGATCCTGTCGGAACTCACCGGAGCGAACTCGGGCCTCCAGGTCTTCATTCGTTGCCAGGACAAGACGGACATCGACTTTGTGCGTTTCAGTTCCGCCGACGGGCTCAAACTCTCGATCTTGAAGTACTCGCAACAGTTTCACTTGTAGACTGGGCGAGGCTGTTCCGATTTCGTCGAGGAATAAGGTTCCTCCGTCTGCCTGCAGGAACTTACCGATCTTATCGTGCGAGGCTCCTGTGAACGCGCCCTGTACGTGTCCGAACAGTTCACTTTCCAGTAAGCTATCTGGCAGGGCTCCACAGGCAACTTCAACGAAAGGTTTGTCTTTACGCGAGCTGAGTTGATGGATTGCTCGCGCGGTCATCATGGTTTTTCCGGTTCCGTTCTCTCCTAAGATCAGAACAGTCGTGCGGGTGTCCGCCACGCTTTCAATCAGGTCAAACATTTTGGCCATCTTGTAATCGCGGCCAATGATATTTGAGATGGCATGTTTCTCATTCAACTGCTGCTTCAGTTTCTTGTTCTCTTCAACGATCTGTCGCTGACCGAGGGCTCGCTGAATTGAGAAGTTCAGTTCGTCATCAATGACCGGCTTGGTCAGGTAGTCAAAGGCTCCCAGTCGAATCGCTTCCACGGCACTTTCGATCGTCCCATAGCCTGTCAACAGGATCACGGAAGTGTCGGGCTTGTTGGCGGTGACCCATTCGAGCAGCTGAAAACCATCTTGATCGGGCAGGTTCACGTCGCAGATGACAACCTGGAAGTTGTATTCTTTGATTCGATCCAGAGCAGATCGACAGGTCATGGCCGTTTCAGTCCGATGACCGAGACTACGCAGGTAATCCGCCATTGCTTCACAAATGTGGCGGTCGTCATCGACGACGATTAAAGAACCTTGGTTACTCATCGAGAATCTCACCGTTCTCCAGACGGTTGTTCCACCGTCTGACTGATTCAATCAGTTATTTCTTGGTACATTATCCAGCAAAGACCGGGGAAGACTTTGCACCGTTCGCTCGCTACAGAATGCGATCAGCGACAACAACACTGACGGAGCAGTGACATTGACTCGACCAGCGCTCAGTTCCAGCTACGAATGATTGCCTCAGATGAAGCGATGATCTGGACCTGGGACTTTTGCGTTTTCAATAACGAGCAATTCCTGCTCAGCCATGAGAGGAATCAGGGCGCAGTCAATTGAGAGACATCGTGACGTTCATGAAACAGTGCATCTCAAGCAACTACTCGAAAAGATGCTCATTGCAATCTTTCCTGGGGGGTGCTGGGAGTCATGTTGATTTGAGGGTACAAAAACCTACGTCACAGGTTGCAATGTGGCAACAAATTTCTGTCGTTCTCGAATAAGAATCTCACGAGAGGCAATTGAACCTGCCAAAGCAAGGAATTTATGCGGTCAATCGCATTGAGCCCAATCTGGAGGGTTTGTTGCAAATTGGATGCGTTCCCCCGATTCTGGATGAGAAATCGTGATTTCAGCCGCATGCAGACACATCAAAGAGTCCTGACCAAATGCCCGCGGTTCCCCTAACTGCTGCTCCGACAGATAAAGCGGGTCACCCACGATGGGAAAACCGAGGTGCCACAAATGGACACGTATCTGGTTGGTCCGTCCCGTTTGAGGGATCACCTTCAACAGCGATGTACCATCATCAAATTGAGCTAACCTTTCGAGCTGTGTCTTAGCCGGCAGTCCGTTCTCTTCATCAACAACACGGCAGCCTCGCTCACCAGCCTCTCTGCTGATTTTCGCTTCGCATGTTGCCTGTTTCCAATCAACATGTCCTTGAACAAGTGCCAGATAAACTTTCTCAACTGTGCCTGCCTCAAACTGTGGCTGCACTGCTCGCGAGACTGTTCGCGTTTTGCAGAGAACCACAACTCCAGTCGTATTGGCATCCAGACGATGGGCTGGCCGCAAACGCAACGGGTGGCAAACTTCGTTCAAGATCCATTGCAACGTATTGCGATGAAACCGTCCGCTCGGATGAACTGGCAACGGAGCTGGCTTGTTGACTACGACCAATGCATCGTCTTCATAGAGGAACTCAATCTTCGCATTCACATCAGGCTCGATGGTCGCGGGCTTGAGATGGGCAAACTGAAACCCCGCTCGAACCACTATGTCCGCGGGAATCGGCTTGCCATCGCGGTGAAGCTTGCCTGTTTCACATTCTGTTTCCCAGTAACCTTCTTCATGCTGAGGGAATCGCTGATTGAGAAATTCAATGAGAGTCAACTGATCGTATTGCTCAGGCACATTGACTGGGATGGCATTGTCATACGGTTGCGAACCTGGCAGCGGAGTGACAACCTCTTCCAGCTTTGCGGTCCTGGCTGCCTTCAACCTCTTTTGACGTTCCTCAGGTGCCTGGAAACAGTGTGGGCAGGCATGCGGAGGATAATAATAGGGAGACTCCTGCTCCTCTTTTGTGAGCGGTGCCAGGCAGGCATAACATTGGACGGTCTCTGTTTCTTTTAATTCTGGATCAAGCGCGACCCGTTTATCGAAAACGAAGCAATCCCCGACGTAATGATCTCCGCCGCACTCCTCGAAGTATTTCAGAATGCCTCCATCAAGCTGATAGATTTCCTGAAACCCGGCCTGTTCCATGAATGGGCCCGCCTTTTCACAGCGAATGCCTCCCGTGCAAAACATGACGATGGGACGTTCTTTCGTCTCCTCCGGCAATTGCTCAACCGCTTTTGGGAAATCGCGAAAATGGTCAACGCCTATGGGGACTGCGTTTTCAAATGTTCCGACTCGGACCTCATAATCATTGCGAGTATCGAGGAGTAGCACCTCCTTCTCCGCATCGAGCCATTCCTTCAGTTGTTTGGCGGGGAGTTTCTTCGAAGTCTCCTGCCGTGGATCAACACCTTCAATCCCGAAGGCGATGATCTCTTCCTTGATTTTGACCAGCATCCGCTCAAACGGTTGATGATCGCTGAAGCTTTCTTTGACTTCCAGATCAGCCAGCAGCGGATCCTCTCGCAGGAACTTGAGTAATTCATCAATCGCAGGTCGCTTACCAGCAACGAACAGGTTGATCCCCTCGGGAGAAAGCAGGATGGTCCCTTTGAGATTCAATTGCTGACAAAATGGCTTCAATTCCTGACGTCTACGTTCCAGATCATCAAGCGTGACGAACAGATAGGCAGCGATATTCACAAACTGACCTGAGTCAGTTTCACCAGGGAGTTCAGTAGTAGAAATTGTCACGTCGTTCGCCACGACAAAACCTCAAATTAAAAACGGCTGATAAGTTTTCCTGCACCACGACATTGGCGCAGCGAGTATTATAACTCTTATTGTTAAGAGACTGAATTCGGACTGCAAATCTTTGTTTCGCTGCCTATGATTGGGAAAATATCACTTTCCTCAGGAGATCACAGCATGTCAGAGAGTGCTCTAAACCTTCGAACCGCAGACCATCCCATTGAGAACATTTTTCTGGCCCGCTGGTCTCCTCGAGCGATGAATGGTCAGGCAGTTCTACAAGCTGATGTGAACCGCTTGTTTGAAGCTGCTCGCTGGGCGCCTTCCACTTACAACGAACAGGAGTGGCGATTTCTGTACGCTCATCGCGATAGCGAACACTGGTCTACGTTTTTTGACTTGCTGGTTGAACCCAATCAGCTCTGGTGTGAGCAGGCGGGAGTGCTGATTGTTGTCGCATCACGAACAACTTTTACCCGAAATGGTAAGCCGAATAACGTGCATGAATTCGATGCTGGCCTGGCGACCCAAAACCTGTTGTTACAGGCCAGTTCCATGGGCTTAGTGGGACATGCCATGGGCGGCTACGACCGCGGTGCTGCGAAACGGAACCTGAACATTCCAGATGGTTTTGAGACTCATTGCATGGTCGCCATCGGACACCCAGGCGACCCGGCTAATCTCCCTGAGAATTATCAGGAATTGGAGAAACCCACTGGCCGGAAACCGATAGCTGAGATCGCCCAGGCAGGACCTTTTCAGTTTCAACAATAATGAACTGGTCGGAAATTACTTACCGCATCAGCCGGAACGCGTTAGCGTCCGGTTTTTTAGAACCGTGGGCTAACGCCCAGCGGCTAATTGAATTAGGAAAATTATTTATAGCTGATGCTAATTGGGGAGATTGAGAGTTTAGGGTTGTGAGTATTCCTCAGTGAGAAGACTCTGCTCTCTGTCATCATTCACAGTCTCATTAGAACTCATATTCCACAATGATCAGGACATCGGAGCCAGACATTTTCTCCTGACCTGGGGTCGCGTGAGCTTGCGGGGCAATGTTGCCTTTGACTTCCTTCACCTTGATTTTCTCTCGGTGTTTACGAATCCACTGGTTAACTTTCTCTTCGAGTTGGGCGAGTTCCTTCTCGACACCTTTGAACAACTTGATCTGATGCATCCTAGGTCCCTTGAAGCTAAAAGTACGAAAGCAGGCCGAAGTTGGGATCAACCTCGGCCTGCCTGAATCGAAATTAACGGAGGCGATTCTTACGCCTTGAAGACGTCGGTGACGCCAGGAACTGGAATTGGGTAACGACCTTCGTCATCTGGAGTTGTCGGAGGTGCGAGGTCCCAGCTCAAGTCTTCTGCATTTGGAACGATCTGCGGACCTTCCATGAGGGCTTTTTCCATGGTGATTTCTTTTCCGGAGTAAGTGCACATCCGGCCCAGGATCGAACTCATCGTGCTCATGGCACCATATTCAGCCTCGCTGTATTCCTTGTCATTGCGAATGGCAGCGAACAGGTCATTGTGCTCGACCTGATAAGGGTTGCTGGTGTCCCCTTTGAACCGCTCCACATTGCCACTGCCAGCCCAGGTGATTTGGCAATTGCGTGGGTTACTGGAGAGATCGACAGTTCCGTTTGTTCCGTGGATGTGCTCGGTCACTGAGTTCCAGCAGCTGCGGATGTGTCGGCACTCACTGAACATGACAGTTCCATCATCATAAGTGAACTGAACTGCGTGATGGTCGAAAATCTCACCATACTTGGGATCGGTTCGGACCTGTCGTCCACCCATTCCAATCGCGCTGACTGGATATTTCTGCATGACCCAGTTGCCGATATCGATATTGTGAATGTGCTGCTCGGTGATGTGATCACCGCACAGCCAGTTGTAGTAGTACCAGTTTCTCATCTGGTACTCCATTTCTGTTTTCACCTGGTCACGATTCTTTCGTGGATCCCAAACTCCGCCGCCGTTCCAGTAAACCCGCAAAGCACGAACATCACCAATTTGACCATCGTGAATACGTTGGATCAGATCCTGGTAGCAGGCCTGGTGGTGTCGCTGTAGTCCAACGCCGACCTTCAGTTTCTTTTCTTTCGCAACTTTGGCTGCTTCGAGAACTTTACGAACACCGGCAGCATCGGTCGCAACAGGTTTTTCCATGAAGACATGGACACCCTTTTCGACGGCATACTCAAACATCATTGGACGGAATCCAGGAGGAGTCGCCAGAATCACGAGATCAATGCCGCTGTCGATCACTTTCTTGAAGGCATCGAAACCGACGAACATATTCTCTTGAGTCACCTGAACGGTCGCTGACTCATCTTTCTTCACTGCTCGTTCAATGTTCGTCAGCGACTTGTCGATCTGATCCTGAAAAGCATCGCCCATGGCCACCAGTTCAACGTTGCCAGGTGATTGCAATGCTTGCGAAGCAGCTCCGGTTCCGCGGCCACCGCAGCCAACCAATCCGATGCGGATCACTTCATCGCCAGCGGCGTATGCTTTTGCGGAAACGGTTGAGAGCAGAGTTGACCCCACCGCTGCGGCAGCAGATGTGGTCTTAATAAAGTTACGGCGTGTTGTTTCGGACATAGTCA